ATCAATCAACGATTAATTGATGTTTTTGAGTGCATATTTCCAATATAAAGCGAAACTTGGTGCTTTCGAATGATACTTATTGTTATACTATATGGATAACATAGTAATTATTTAAGATTGTGAATTTGATTTTTCGACTTCTTACATAGACGTTCATACAAAGTTATCAGGACAAGTATAACGAGAAACGTCAAATCGGGCAGAAGCTCGATTTGACGTTTCTCGTTATTCGTACTTCTATATTCGTGACAATCTAAGAATAGATTGTCAGGAATATAAAAGTAGTAGTAGTAAGAAATAGAAGTTTTAGCTTCGTTTCATTAGGCAACACTGAATGAAATTAAAAAAAAATTATAAGAAATATGTCCGTCGTCTTGTGCATGTGTTTATTTCTTGTGATTTCATATTTTTGAGTGTTTTATTGCTATTGTTTATGTATTTGCGTCGAGTTATGTATTTACGTCAAGAATAGGCTTAGCTTTCCATTGACGTCAGTGGAGTTTGGTGTTGATACGTATTTTTACAGAAAGATTACACTATTATAAGCACACACACAAACATATTTTGTGGACCGATACATCAGCTTACGATTTGAATCGATTTAAAAATCGACCTTTTTTGGAAAGAATCGACATCCCTATTGACGTCGACAATGACATTACAAAATGGCGCCAGTTTATTAGCAGATTAGACATAAACATTGCAAGAATAATTGATTTTCAATTATTATTTTCTCAAAAATTACGCGTTTCCGTATATTGAGACTTTGTGTGTGTGCTTATAATAGTGTAATCTTTCTGTAAAAATACGTATCAACACCAAACTCCACTGACGTCAATGGAAAGTCGTACCCAAGAATATGCTTTTAGGGTAGACTTTGTAATTGGTGCAGTGACAGAAATATAATAAAAGAGTTATAAAATAATATGTTAATTTCAGCTCTTTAATTTTTATGATGGTTTGTAGTTAGTTACTTTACATATGTGCAGACAACATGGAACTTTATAACATCTCACGTTTGTTAGAATTTTATTTTCAACATATCATTTAAAATTGTGAAATAAAAATGTTAACAATACTAAAAATCTTTCTTTTTGTCCCACATTTTATCGAGAGTATTTAAGCCGATTTCTAAATAACATTGTTTTTTATTGTTATTTAGAAATCGACAAAATACTTAATAAAAATAACAATATAATAGTAGTGTGTATATAGAACAGATATATATAATATCTGTAGTTATGTATAGTTGCAGTAGTAGTTAATAAACTAGCTTCCAGGCGGCGCTGTTATCGCAGCAATTTTTTACGTTAGAGATTCTTATCTATTTCCGTATATACACTCTTATCTATGAATAAAACTATATAACAGCAGCCGTATTGCTCAATATAATAAATCTAGTTGCGCGGCTTAATCGACATCATAGAAAAATGTCAAATTATTAATTTTTTTGCTGCAAAAAGGCTGCCACATCATATTTACAAAAAGATTGCGTTAACTTTCTTAAATAAGTAATTTTATATCAGATTATTTTTATTTACTTCTTTTTAAACTAAATAATTGTTTTGAATTTGTTTACCAACACAGGCCGCTCACCCTCATATAATACAATATGCAGATCGTTCGAGCGTCTGATCCGAGTCCGTATCAGAAATGTCGCTTACTCTGCGTGGTACTGTTACGGTACGTGTACACCAAAACCGATTTTGTCGGCCGATGGCGGACAGAACTACCTGGACGAGTAACTCGGACGTGTATGTGCTTACACTACAACAGTGTACCACGTGTTATGATTGTGTATTGAACGTTACCAGTACTCTGTAGTTGACTGTGTTGCTTAACAGAGTGAAGACGCATTTTTTTTAATATCTGGAACCGCTACATCTATTTCCGATCCAACTTCAGCCCATAACCGTTTCGAAACCTCTCGATTATCGTAATTGTCTATTATAAACACAACTAATTAATTTTTCAATATCCATAGTCGTTTTGGTAGATAACAACACTGACAAAAACAACAGAATAAAGACAAAATGATTAAATTACACTATAAATACACTTAATTTGCACTGTAGACGCCGGCAATCTGGCGAGAGATCCCAACAAGTTCGGACTCAAAGGTTGATCGGCCGATTTTGTGAGTCATTGGACGATGACGGTCGTGTTTGTGTACGCACTCTCTTTCTTCTACAAGTGTTTGATTCGATCGTCCGAGTTCAGCCGTCGTCGCCCGAGCAAACTTCGGCTGATGACGGATTATGTGTACGCGTACCCTTATAATATATATGCGAGTGTGTGTGTGTGTGTGAATTTTTTAGTCTTAGAGTATAAATATGCAAGCTAAAGAGTGCGCGTATTGCTCATTGCCCATTATGCCAAGCGTCAGCAGGTCTATAGATACTGATACATAGTTGGAGTGGTTGAATAGTGATACGCCAAGATTGACGCCTATGCGTTATTGTACTTAAGTTATTATATTAAATTAGATAAATAAGGAAGGTTTTAGCAGATCAATAAAACACAAGTACGAATTTATGAAACGATGTTTATTAATTAAACACAAAAATCTAATTAATATACTACACCTTAAAAAGGATTACCTTATTACATAATTGTTATTTTGTTTGCTTGATCGTTTTGTTACGTAAAATATATATTATCCTAATAATAATATATTTTTGAATTACAACGTGAAAAAATCGTGAACATATCGTAGGTACCTACATAGATAACTGCAGAAGTTAGTTAGTTTTTTAATCGCTTGTGAATAAGTGTAATCTTACGTCAAATTTAAGCTCTAGTATTGCACTTCCAACCAGCTTGCGCAGTCAAATTAAGTATATTATTATAATTATTACGAAAGAAATCATGTTACTAAAAATATTCAAGTACAACGTTGCACAGAACTAGCTCTAATTCGGGAATAAACCGAAGTCCTTTTTATTTCGAGACTGTTCATACCCGTGCTTACTATACTCGTGTAAGTGATGCGATTATTGCATTACATATTACTCGACCAAATCAAACATGGCACATGAGCATGACACTCAAACATGACACACAGTGCTTTGTTCGGTGTCCGTATTATTTCGTTAATTTTCACTGTGTGTGTAAGTGAGAAGGAGCATGCGCCGGTCAGCTGGATAAGAAATAAGTGAACTATTATTTAGAATTAGAACCGTATCATTCATGTAATAATGTTAACGTTTTATTAACACCTCGGACCGCCTAGTGATGTCTTAAATTATGACTCTCGCACTTTAAGACTATATTGCCAAAATATTCAAACGCTATTCAATTTTTTTTTATAGGATAAGGGTGACAAACGAGCACACAGTCCCCTTGATGGTAAGTGGTTGCTGTGGCCCATAGGCATCTACATCTATCTTCGATTAAGAATCAAAATGCAGATGCGTTGTCACCCTTGAGGACTAAGATGGAATGCCACGTTTCCAGTACAAGGGGTCTCCGGTTCTCTAAACTCACCATACGAAACACAGCAGCGTTAAGCTGCCATTTTACGCTGGTATTCTGTGAGAGCGTGGTCCTTCCCCGGTCGAGCCGACCCATTCGTGCTACAACCATTATATAACTGCAGCATGGCTCTATCACGTAAGAATCTCTACTACGTATGATGACAAAATATATCACTTTCTTGAATGTCTGAAGACAAAAAACTATCACCTTATATTTAGCTTTAATTATAAATGTAAATACCATGTAAATAAAAACAAAACGAAGAAAGATATTAAAAAAAAATAAAACAAATAAAAAAACACAATCACTGTTTATAAATAGATTTTTAAATACGCCAATGTTAGTATTGGTCAATAATCAATATTGCAATTTATGTTTTTTACCAGCCATGCCATTTTGATTGAATAGTTCAGTAGAGCAATCAAGTGTACATTGCGGCGCAGCGAGTAGCTAGAGCATTGCGTTTGATCATTATATCTTCTACAACACGAGCATTTCATTACAATAGCCATCCCGTGGCGCATCATTTCGCGTCAAGTTTGGAGTCATGTAACATTCCTCAGTACTAATTGTAATGTCATATTACATTACTTTAAAACGCACTATTTTGCGCATCTCTAGTGCTTTCTGTTCATACTGGCTAACGCGCACTCTATAGCTTATTTATAAATGCTCTAAATTTATAAGTATATTATTTTAATTTTTATACGTGTATGAGTTTCGTAATGACAGACGTTTATTTTTGTGTACTTACGTAGAATTTCTCCCGCAAAAAATGACACCCAAAAATTGTGTATCGGGGGAAAAGCTATGGCTACTCCCCTCCGGTCCACCGTGTTGCGCTATGTGTTATAGTAATGGTGTTCCGTGTTGCGCTATGTGTTATAGTAATGGTGTGGTTAAAAACCATGAAAAACTTGGTAATGTTTTTAAATTTCTTGCAACAAAGGTCTTCGAGAGCTTGCAACATTATACATAGACAATATAAATTGGTCATAGACAACTTGTCATGGCGGAGTAATCAGCTGTTAATTGCAATGCCAACGAGTAGTTATAAATTGTTTCGTTTTAGTCATTAGGACTCAATTTTCATATTTTTTTGTTTTTTCTTTATTGTTTAAATATGTGTTACCTTTTAAAGTAATTGCATCAAGAGCGTCAAAGAATGGCGCGATGTCCCGCGTCATCTGTCAGATTTATTCATTCATCCATTGTAGTGCAGAAAAAATGTGACTAGTTTGATAGAATTTTGTTTTACCTCACAAGTACAATGCGAAAATCGCTTACTATGGCTTTATAGTCGTTAATAGTGTAAGTGACTTACTGATTATTCAATAGCATAGTTAAAAAACAGGTACTACACGTAACATTCATTTTCTGGGCCTAACAATTTCCTCTACAAAGAAGCCGTGCGGCGTCTGCGTTGTAAAATAATTTCTCGGACACTGAAGTTGCGTGAACTTTGATGTTTAATTTTAGTATAGAATTAGGGTCTTAAAATTGTGAAAAGTGATATTAAAAGAATGTCGGGTCGTGTTAGGAAGCAGTCGGACTGCCCTGTAAGCAAGCAAGGTCCTATGAGGGCAACTCTACCAGTGTCCTCGGTGATGAAACAAAGTGGTGGCTTAAAGAAAAACGCTGGTAATAGTCCAACATTGTCACCTACAAATGTCTGGCGTCGAATATCACCAGATCATGCACTTTCTGGTCAGCGAAGTCCTGGAGCAGTCAACTATAAGGGTTTGTGCTCAGTCTTGTTGTTTCATAAATTATTTGCTTTATGTAGTAGTAGTAAATAAAGAATAAGTGTAAATTTTTTATGACAATGAATCATCATTATTTTGATTATATTAAACAAATAAAATGTAAAAATATAAATTGATTTGCAAATTACTTTGTAGGCAAAGGACGGTTTGGTGCTAGTGTAATCAGGCGCACAGCATCACTTGACACCTTATATCACAAAGGACAATGGTCTAGAGATTATTATCTGCATGCAGGTCATCTACAAGTTGATAAATCAACTCAAGTAAGCATTAAAAAAACTGTTTATTTTTTATTTCGCTGTATTGAATTCAATTTTGGATTTTATTACCTAATTCTTAACCTTCAGTAATAAAATAGATTACCAAATTATCCATCATTATCATTGTTTGAAACAATCAAAAATATAACCATTGCCAAATATCTCTACCAGAAGTAACTAAAACAGCAGAAGGAATGTACAACATCTGCAAGATGTTTTTTTATGGGAATGAAGCCCCTGTGAAGTGCCTTATAGTTTTTAAGAAAAATAAAATATTTTTTCTTAATTACACCTATATACACTGATGAATACTTCTAGTATTGATCATATACTGATCAATACTTCTTAGTAATGATCAGTATATGGGTTGTATAATGATCAGTATATATCAGCATATAAAGAGGGTGGAAAAGGTTTCGGAAAAAAATGAATGTGGTTGTTGTAAAATTTCAATTTATTATGGTTTTTGATTATTTAAATTGATGGAACCTGAATCAGTTCTGCAACAGTTTTGGAATTTTTATTGCAATTTATTTAATGACAATATTTACAAAAATATCAATGATATTGATGAATTATAGTAATGATGATATTAAAATATTGATAGTAAAATACAGTATTAAAAAAAAATTAAGGTAATTTATTGTACAATATGTAATACATACAATATTTGGTTATAGTCAATAATATAATCAATATTAAACAAAAGCCATCACATCAATTTTGTATTTTGTTTGTTGCCCTATTTCTTAACAGAAAAAGAAAATTAGAGAATTAGGTATGTAGTTAATGTAACAAATAACATAATATCATGATATATTTATATACATTGTTTGTAGATCATAAAAGTTCGAAAGAAAATATCTGTGTATTGGAAATGTAAAAAAAGTAGATTTTGCTTATGAATAAAATAAAAAAAAATTACAAACAAATGCATTTCTGCAATATAATATTTCAGGAATATACTAACCAAAAACAAAAATTCTTACTTGAATGTTTAATCAATTCAATATGTGTAAAGAAAATTTTCAAGCCATGCTGATTTTTAAAACTGTTTTAAAATTGTTCATTTAAAACCCTATTTTGCTATTAAGAGGTCTTAAAAATAAGGGATGGCATTTATTTCATTATAAATGTATTACATTTGTTAACTTTAATTGTGATTTCTTATATTTACGCAAATACTACACATTTAAATAAAACTAATTTTACAGATTTTATTGTGTATATTTACTTATTTTATATTCCCGACATTTCGAGCACTTTACAACACCCATGGTCATGGGAGGGACTGAGGTGTATGATATCACAACATCGTTAACTACGGCTACCTCCAGATTAAAAATTATTAATTTTTGTTCCGATCTATGTAGTATGACCTTACAGTGTCTTGAAGTCTTGCAGTTCTATGCTTGGGTTGGATTTCAGTTTTATTAATTATGGGATCCCAAGCCGATGGTAGCAACCAGCAATCTTCTCTATTGAAATTAGGATGTTTTTTGATTTCAATAGCCTTGCGAATCATCCTTGGAAGGAATCGGTGTTCTTTAGCGAGGATTTGTGGTCTATCAAATCTAACGAGTGACGGGGGTGATTCTGTACGTGTTCACAGACTGCAGACTGCCTGGAGCGTCGATTCTTCACATCAGCTATGTGTTCTATAACACAGGTTTTTATGGATCTTTTAATTTGTCCTATATAAGAGAGACCAATCAAGCTTGTATACTCCTACATCTTGCTGAGGGACACTACACTTGACTGATGGTAAAAACTGACTAATCTTCTTCAGCGGCTTGAAGTATGTTTTAATGGAAGCACACTTCAAGATGTAGCCAATCTTGTCAGTGACACCTCTGACATATGGCAGTACAGCAGGCACTCGCTCGACTGTGGCTGGCTTCTCTCCTTCACTGTGACGTAGGTGCGGGACCCGAAGCTTATTGTCGTCCAAAACTTGCTTGAAGTGTTGGAGCTCGGCAGCCAGATGTTTACTGTCACAGATCCCTCGTGCTCTCTAAAACAAAGATTTATCCACGGTAGCTAACTATGAAGGATGGTGGTGACAATCACCGTTTAAAAATATATCTGTATGGGTCTTTTTTCTATACATAGTGTGGCTCAAGGTGTTATCAGGATTCCGAATTACTAACACATCTAGAAAAGCTAAAGAATTGGTCACCTCTAACTCCATTGTGAAAGAGCAATGGAAAGAAGCATGTTGGAAATCAGGCTTAGTGACAGAATCCGAAATGTGGAAATAAGAAGGAAGACAAAAGTAACAGATATAATAACTCATATAGACCATCTAAAATGGAGCTGGACAGGACATATGCTACGTTGCAAAATAAATAAATGGAGCAAACAAGTAACCTTATGGTATCCAAGAGGAGACATCAGAAGACAGGGACGTCCGAAAACAAGATGGAGTGACGATATCCACCTAACTCTAGGACCATACTGGACCAGAGTTGCAGAGGACCGGGCTCAATGGAGAGAGCTGGAGGAGGCCTATGCCAAGAGGCACGCCGAATTGCGTGATATAATATAAGAAATAAAATCTATAAAATCAAAAATGTGAAACTGCATGTAGTTCGGAATAAAAGGGCTTTATTATAACTCCATTGTGAACTGAATTTTAGAATTTATGGAGTTACAATGGTCTAAAAATGAAGTTACTTTATCTAAAGGTAGAATTGTGAAAGTGTCTTCTATGTACCGTTTGTAGTCTTGGGTTTACAGGAGAAGTAAGCTGGGCTTTCTCCTCAGTCTTCCATGAATATATCGGTGACAAGATATATTCATGGAAGACTGAGGAGAAGAGAAGAATGGAGAGATACAGGTATGAGCCTATCGCCATGCCCATTTTTAATTTGGAGGTAGCTGTGGTTAACTATGACATTGGGACGTCATACCACTCAGCCCCCCTGTGACCATGGGTGTTGTAAAGTGCTCGAAACGTCGGGAAAAGTTAATATACGCGATAAAAAATTAGTTTTATTTAAACTTTAATTTTACTTTCAAATGTAGTCATTAATTAGGCTGAATGAAGTGAAGCCAATATCTAGTGATTTAAAAATAATAATGTCTTACTCGGTGATATTAGTCACACCAATTTCTTGGTGTGCGTACTATTTTTTGGGTCTTATACCATGTACCAACTAATTACTGCCCCTTTACACAAAAATATCTAGTTTTTTACATCAACCATGAACAAGAAATGTATGATCTGATGACATCTGCAATTTTATATAGCGTTAAACAGCTAGATGCTAAAGAAGCAGGGAATAATATTGTTGAATTTGATTAAATTTTTGAATCCCAAATATATTATATTTATTACTATTACTTACTATATGTATCACAAATGAGTACAATATTGAAGTTCTGTCATGACACTGTTAGCTATCATTAAATAATTTATAGTTTTATTTAAAACAAAATAGTCTTTGTTATTTATTTTTGTCTTTTTAAACATATGATTTATTTTTTCATTCTTAAACATATAATTTCTAATTTGTTTTGTGTTGTAAATTGTGTAACATACATGATTGTAAGCTGTTATTTTTTTTAAAGTCCCACTGGGTTTCTTGCTGGTTCTTTCCAGGACAGAGGTATTTTTCAAAACCAATGGTAATTAAACAAAAGGGTGACTTTCAATTAGGATTATTTATAATCTATATATTGAATAGAAACATTTGTTTCTCTATGATAGCAATAATTTTTTTACATTATTTCTTTTTCTTAAGATAAGTGAACTTATTTTTGTTTATTCTTATAGTTGTTATAATTATTTTTAACTATATCAAGTTTGTTCGGTGGTTCAAATTCAAATTTGCTCCCCAATCAAATAAAAGACACTTGCCAACCTATTTTCATATTGTGATATATTTATTAACAAGTGTGATAGTAAGCTTTAATGTATGTATAGTCTGAATCATCTGTACTGTACTAGGCAGTAGTATATTATTTACCATATCTATAAACACATACTATAATTTCTATAGTACTATATGAATGTACCATTTTTTTATTTGAAATACCTGGTTTTAGTGACATCTGTACCAAGCTCATTGGGCTATCTAACATCACTGGTCTTACTGTTAAAATATCAAAGTATACTTCTTGGTTTTGTTTATAAATAATATGATTGTTTTTTGATTTCCTACTTTGCTTGATTGATTGATTTTTTAAAATTGATTCACACTTGCATTCTTATGTTACTAGGTACTTTCTTTATAAACGTTGGAGCCATTTTCATTATTGAACAGTTTGTGTTAAGTTACTATGTCAATTAATACAAAGTTATATTAATGCTACATAGGTTTTTACAATAATTTTAAGTCAACTGTTTTTCTCTTACTCATAGGCTATCTAATCAAATTCATCAACAAATAATAATAAGCTACTTGAAAAACAATTTTTGTAGTTGGTTATTGTAGACACATGGCATGACATCTATGTAAAATGTCAAATGTTTGTAAAGTTAGTTATAACTTTTTATGCTTGATAAAGTTATAAGCAATATCTTCTTTTATGACTTCATTATTAGTAAAAGTTTGAAAAGATATTAAAAATGTATATTTGCTTAGAACACAAAAATAATAAAAATTGGTGTTTATTATATTCTTATGTGTAAAGCAAGAATATAAAAACGAATATAAAATCTTAAAAAAGTTAACATACGGAATCACAGATTTTGTATCCTTTAACCTTAGTTATATTTTCATTTAAAAGAAATGTTACTTAAAATATATTACTTACTGTATACATATAATTAAAAACAGTGATTTATATACAAATTATTAATTAATTACACAGACTGATGAAGGTGGTGGAGCATCTGGTCGTTCATCCCGTGGTGCAGAAGATGATAAACTGGATCGTTTTTTGCGCAGTCGCCTTCAGAGACCACATAAACCCTCTGCATCTGGAGATAACTCTGCCCACTCAATGAGTCCTGGATTCTGTAAGTTATATGTTCTCAACTTGTAAACGAAATGTTGACAAAATAAATATTTAACTTTTGTGTTGACCTTTATATTTGAAAATTTTAATTTAATGTGGTTTAGTATCAAATATACTAACCCTTAACGCGACTCGCGAGGGAGTAAGCTCCCCCATCACGCACATTTTTGGAAAAAATTTTATTGTATTAAGCGTGATGTGGTCGAGTGTGTGATTCACTGTACCACTTGAGAGCTTGTAACCGGTTTATGTGTGTTTGTACTGTACGCATCAAATTTTTCACTAGGTATGAGCCGATACGGTACCTAGGCCCCCCTCAAATGCAATTATGTAAGCAAATTCATTTAATTTCTTTTTGATGTGCTTAGTTTTTTGGATCAGTGACTCTCATGGATAAAATGTTTGTAGTAATTCGGACCAAAATTAATATTCAAAAGCTGAAGTTAGCTAAGTTAACTGACTGAAAATGACATCGGGATGTGAAACACTTCATACATACATACATATAATCACGCCTCTTTCCCGTAGGGGTAGGCAGAGACCAGTTCTTTCCACTTGCTACGATCCTTACATACTTGTTTTGCTTCATCCACTTTCATTATTCCCTTCATACATGCTCTACGGTTTAGGGTACTCTTGACCTGGCCTTTTTTCAAGACGTCCCTGATTTGGTCTAGAAATGTCCGCCTAGGTCTACCCCTTCCAACACTTTCATTCACACTCGCCTTATACACTTTTTTCGTCAATCGTTCTTCATTCATTCTCTCGACATGGCCAAACCATTTCAGCATACCTTTCTCAATTTTTGTCACTACATCTTCTTTCAGACCATGTCATTTAATTTCGAAAGATTTAAAAATTAATTGTATATGTTATGTATTAAACATTATTCAATGTGTATTTTATGTGGGTAATTGTAATTTTAACTTTTTATTTTGGCAGGGTCTCGTTTTGCAACTGGGAGTGTACCGCTTAGGGCAGCTCGCTCATCAGTTGAAGGTCTAAATCAAGAAATTGAGCGACTTGTTCTATGCCCGGCCAGTGGCACTCAAACTCCTCATCTTGATCGGTTACGAGATAAGGTACATTCACTTTAAAAATAAATATAAGGGTAAAATAATAAGTAGGTAGCTTTTCTAAGAGTATTAGCCTAGTTACTCGCGACTTACAATCTTAGGAGATTATTCAGAATACTAATAATGGGGAACACAGGGTCAAAATATTACTACCAAATACTATTAAAATCTTAGCAAAGATCATGTACATTACATTAGTTTTTATTTCACTTCAATACATGCAGTATTTCCGAAGTTATAACGACGAGAAGTTTAAGCCCTTTTTGAATTTCAGAGATTACGCGCGTCACACTCTCGCAGACCGCGACCGCGACACAAACGCGGCGCTTGACCAAATTACGCGGGTCTCGTTTCATTTTCTTTCAATCGTCTTTGTATTCCTACTACTTATAGTGTTTGTGCTTGTATTTCAAAGAAATAATATTATCCTCTAAATCCGATTACACTAAAGTTAAACGTGTAGTGCTAGAATGGAAGATTTTGTAAAAGGACAGTCGGACAATCTGCCTAGAGTGGATAGTTTGACCACGGCACAATATTTCATGGAGAATCAGGATTTAATGGCTACTGAAATTCGTGGAATAAAGATGAAAAGGTACGTACCTATGTTCTAAGTAAGCATTAGGTACCTACTCTCCTCGGTAAGCATTAGGTTTTTTGAACAAATACCTATGTAGGTATTTGTACAAACTTAAACCTAACCGAAAGTTTGTGTGTTTCATTTAATACTTATCAAATATGGGTGGCGATAAAAAATACTAGGTATACATATACCATATAATAGATGTGGGTAAGTCCTACTACCTAGGTATTTACGTAGTTATCAGTTTTCTAACTAGGCAAATAGGTACTTATTGTTCTATTGTTACACTAAAACAGATAATTACCTATTTTTGATTAATTTTATCCAATGCTCGCTTTAGTTTATTCATTTACAGTTTTTTAAATTAAAACATTTATAAAAATCAGTGCTGATTAACTTGTGGGTCGCAAATTTTTACTTACCATTTTTATTAGTTATTTATTGATGCCCGACGCAAAAACCAGGGGTGTTATAAGTTTGACCGCAATGTATGTCTGTGTCTATATGTCTGTCTGTGTGTCAGTATGTTTGTAGTACTATAGCTCTAAATGTAATGTAATGTAAATGGTTGAATCGTGTTGTTATTTTTATTTTGTATTTATTGTTGTTTTTAACAGTGGTTCATAGACATGTTTTATCTAAATCGGTTAAACCGTTCTAATAGTACATTAAAAACGTACGTTTCGAAAACCTAAATATAAACCGTGTTTAATGTATGTACGTAGCTATCGTAATAAAAAAATACAACGAAAACTAAGAATAAATGCGGGCTGCGAGTTCGATACTTCTGACATCGGGCCGCGAGTTTGATATTGTAGTAGGAAGAAAATATATTATATTTATGTATATGTTGTATATGTTGCCATATGTGTATTTTGTGGCCCGCCAATACTGTCGGTTGAGGAGCACTGCACTGCGCTGCTACTAGGTGCTAGGTAGTTGGCAACTTAGGCAAGATACCTATCTATCTAAACAATCAAAGTAGACAAGTAGGTATGTTTAGTAGGGCAAGGATAGGTAGAGAAGAAGGATCAGCTTATTACTTACAAAAAATACTTATATCAAAATGGTCTTCACAGCAGTGCGCTATAGTTTTAGGGCCTATTGAATAGACTCCCTCATTTTTGGGTCCTCAGGCACAAAAAAGCGTTTATCAGCTGTTTTAACTGTTGAATTGAAGTACTGAGGCACAATACAGTATTTGTTTTCCATTTTTACCACAGAGAACTTTAAATTTCTGATTTTTACTGCGCAGCGGCGTGCATACGAGCGCGCGATTGTTGTATGAGCGGGAGTGTGACGTCATCGGATAATGAGCGCCCGCCCGCGTTTTTAAAAATCTTCGCTACACGCACTTTGATAGTTAATATCTCAGCCAATTTTTAAGATATGAAAAAAGTAAAAACACAGTTTTTCTCGTATTATTTTGTAAAGTAAAAACGTTTGTCAGACCCATTGTGTTTAACTCAATATTTTAATTAACAAAATTGCATAGTCACTGAGTTCAGTATTGCATCCAGCTATTCCCTTGGAGGTGACAACTCATCTGCAGCCTTTATGTTTGCAGTAAAATTTACCTTAGAAAATGTTATTCATCATTCATCACAATTATTACAGCCTATTAAAAATTCACTACTGAACATAGGCATCCTCCACATATTGCCTCATAGGGATATTTGTAATAGTTGTATGCTTGGCGGGCGAGCTGGCAACCGCTTCTTTTTATTTTCTTGATGTTATTAGGCAAATGCTGCTGCTCCTCTCCTGGTTTGTTTTCGGTACGACTTTCCATTAACTCCCATCGAGTTGGGGGTTGCTACGTATTTTTACAGCAAAAGTTACACTATTATAAGCACAAACCCAAAGTTACAACATGCGGAAACGCGTAATTTTTGAGAAAAAAGTTATTGAAAATCAATTATTCTTGCATTGTTTATGTCTAATCCTACAATAAAACTGACGCCATTTTTTTATTGTTATTGTCAGTAGGGATGTCGATTCTTTCCGGAAAAGATCGATTTTTTAAATAGATTCGAATTGTAAGCTGATGTATCGATTCCCAAAAAATCGATTTCTAAAATATCTATATTTTTTTCATGTTTGCATTTATAATGTAAATATAAATAAGAATATAGGTCTCCCCATAGTTTGCCTCATAGGGGAGATATTTGCCATAGTTGCCACGCTTGGCAGGAGTCATGGTGTACTGGTGTTGTACACATATATTTTTGGGATCTAACTATTGTATATTATAGTGCAAGATACATTTCCATCTGATGGAAAGAGATGAGGCCCACAACGTTACTTAAGCTAATATAATTATTAATACAAGTAACACTAGCATAAAATAATGAAACAGATTATAATTTTTCTTATAATTAAGACTGCGTATATCCAGTTTTTTATCAGTACAATCGAACCTGGATTTTAGGGACCTCAATCTCCTTTTTGCTTACGGAGGTTTGTCACTAACCTAAATTTCTAGCTTACAGAGTCAGAGGCGAGGTCTGTCTCTCTTATAGAGGTCTATAAAAATACAGCATAATGTATGTAGTGATAAACATGTACGTAACAAAAATATCCGTCTATTTCTTCTGCGTTTCTGTTTTTAGATTTTGTGTGTTTTTCCAATTCATAAATTTTATCAAATATGGTTTTATCAACAACCGACGAATATTCAGAAACCTTGTGGAGCGACTCCAATGCATTTAAAGCTTCTTTTTTTTTGGAATTATGTCCGCTTCACTATTCAAAATATGTGATTGGTCGGTTTCATCTTATTTTTATAATAACAATTAGTGGGTTACAACAATGAGTGGGACGAATTGGGGTAGTGGATCCTCTTACGCCTCTGCTATACGGTAAAGTTTAGTGTGGAATGTGATAATAATTAACAGTCCGGAAAAAAATATTAAAAATATGTAGATTTGTAACTACGCGTTCGGAAAACAATAGGCATATAGGTGAAAATGTTGGAATACTTTTAGACTGTAAAGTGAATTATATTTTTGTTCCTTGAATTTTTAAATTTTTTAATAGAATTAGGGTGACAGCACCTGATGGTAAGTAAATTCTGTAGCCTATAGACATCTAATTCATTGTTTGATTAGAAACAAAATGCAGATGTGTTCTCATCGCTGAGAACTAAGATGGAATGTCTTATATTCAGCAAAAAGGGTCTCCATATGAAACACAGCAGCAAAACTGATAGAGATTTCATTTTGATAATGTCTAATGTATAATGAGGCCCATATGTTATTGCCAGGTCACACCAGAAGGTCATCGCGCTCCACTGGCCGAGCTACTGAGACGCTCCGTCAACACACAAACTCCACATGATCTTTGTCATACGGCCCATTCCTCAGGTACTTTCATTTGTTATGGATATGTTCTGGATAAACACAGATTTTTGTTCTTTGAGTCATCAAATTGATGTTTAGTCAAACACTACACATTAAATGTATATATTTTAATGGATTTAATTTATTAAAAGTATATATTATTTATAAATTTAGTAAAATCCGGAAGAATATCACTAAACAATTACAGTCTTATTCATAAAAATCCCTTAAAATGGCGTTATAACACTCTTTAGTTAAAATGCTCATTAGTACTAATAAACCTATTATAAAATTCTCTATTCATAAACGTTCTATAAACCTGTTTTAGTTAAATCGTACTTATGAAATACTTTAGTTTTATTATGTTGTCATTCTGATGATTCCATAGACTAGCGACGGTGAAAGAAAAAGTTTGACAGCAATTGTGACATTCGCGTCAAATTAAGCGCATTGTGGGGTTTTGGCGGGAACTTGATCGGCGGCGGTTTGCTGCTCCTGTATTATAGTTTAAATAATAGTTTGAAGTGGATTTTGATATGTAAAAGTGGTGCGATTTTATGTATTAACCGTCTACACATGTGAACTATTAGTGGAAACGGTGAAACAAGTGCTCTGATGGTGATGGATTCTCAAGATAAGCTGTTTGTTTGCATAGGCGCCTTTAGATACAATCGCCAACTGTCAGCTGCCTGCTGGCTCAAGTTGACGTCAAAATCTCCTAAGGGCTGCACAATGTGACGCATCAACATGTTGTGAAGCAGTGAACTATGAAGGATAATTATACATAAAGACAAAGCTGTATGGCATAGTTCCTTTGCCTGCTCTCTCGAGCGAATAATAAAAACAACAACAACAACGCGCGTTTGCTTATATCGGTTCAAGAAATTGATTTGAGTTATATTTTTTACTCAATAGTAATGGAAAACAGTACAAGTAAAAAGCGGCAAAGAAGCGAAATTTGGCTGGAGGAAGATAAGGTTAGTACGTAATTAAAGTAATTTTCTTCATAGGTGCTTAGTGCACAAGTGTTAGTTCACTGTGTTGTTGTAATAATATCCTTTTTCTTTCCATAGCATTTATTAATGGATTTGGTAAGAGAGCGTGTATTAGTGATTGAAAATAAAAATACTGATACAAATACGAACTCAAAAAAGCATAATAAATCCGCCTACTTATGCTGCTAAGTAGGCGGATTTATTATGCAGACCTATTTTTGTCTATCAATGTGTGAAGTGTTTGAAGACGAGTCTTCAACGCAATATTATTCTATATACGGTCAGTTACATTACTATGCAACAGAAGCATGTCACTTTGTCTCTAGCTGGCCAAATACATATAAGTTTAAAGTCACTTAACAGTCTTCGGGAAGAGCTATGACAGCCTCCCTATCCAATAGGATTAATTATGGTGAAACTTATTGAAGAATAAAGTTGCTGACAAAGGTTCAGACTTAGTTGAAAACTTAAGTAACAGTGGGCACTCTACATAGCTCATAGAACATAGGATTGGGCGGGTTGATATATGAGAAAGTGCAACCAAGTTCTCAGGATTGCTTGCATTAAGATTAGCCCATTTTGAATATTAAAATGTTAAACATTTATGTACATTGTTATATTTTTTTCCAGTTTCAACAGTATGTGCAAAGGTGGCACTCGGACCCTCCCACAAATAAAATCCCAATGGAGCATTATTAAAATGACAAAAAAGAAAATTAAGTCTGTTGAACGTAAGAATCTTCTCCAGACTGGTGGTGTCCACCTCCAACAACAAACCCCGAAAATGCAGATGACATCTGTTCATGGCTCCCTAACGAATTTGTCATTGATACAAATGAATTTGATTCTGATGAAATAAATTTGGTATTATGTATGTCAAGGTTCTAAGTTAAAAGTTGCAAATTTTATCTCTACCTAGTGCAAACTTTCATTTGATAAACATTGTTGTTCCTTTTCTGCCTAAATACCTACTAAAGTTTACTTAATGATATTGTTATAAAAAAAAAATTCATACTTACATAATATAGTTCATTAGTAATTGAATTATTTATTGCATTGTTTGTAGATTGGGGAGCCATCGCAAAATGAGATCAAAGTGGATGAGATAATTAAACTTGTCAACATTGAAAACAAGACTTCAGATATTGTAAGCATCAATGATGTATTGAGATAGCAAGCCATTTTTTTATTTTTCATATCTAATTTTAATTTTATCTTATTTTACTGTTGTAGGACACAATGAGTACAGTAAAGGATGTCACAGTAGAAATACTTCAGGATGTCCAAAATAAACACAAGGTAAATATGTGAAAAGTTGTAAATTAAGTAAACATGTGCCAAACTGGAAATCAAACCCGTAACTTGATTTGTAATTCTGATATTGTTGAAACCATGGAAGCAGTTATCTCTCAGTATATGGATTGTAAAGTTTAGGGATAAAAGTATTACTTGAATAAAATGAAATTGTCTATTTAAACTTGAATTTTATTTGATGAAACATTTAAGATTACGTTAATGTAAACAAGTTTCTTTTAACGGTTTTCATTGCTGCAGGTTGTAGCTACTGGCTCACCATCAAAACCACTGTTTACACCTTCTAATGTAAAATGGTCAACTGTAGAAATGGCATGTGTTGAGTTTGAGCACCTCATTGTTGTGAGCGTCTACAGACCCCCATGTTGTACATATGATGCTTTTGAAAACATTATGGAGGAAGTTTTTGCTAAGCTTAATAAACAGAATAAATCTGTTGTAATATGTGGAGATTTTAATATCAATCTCCTAGAAGCTTCCTCCATCAATATTAAATTTAGATCATTGTTTAAATCATATGGTCTTTTTAATTTATTTATAGAGCCAACGCGTATTTCTCAATCTAGTGCAACATGTATAGATAACATTTTTACAAATGTGAAGCCGTTGCATAAATGTATAATTCAAAAATTAAGTTCTGATCACTGTGGACAAGTAGTTTCGTTACCTTATGTTCACAAAAAGCAAGTAGATGAGAAAGTTGTGTCTGTTCCAGTAAATGCACGTCGCTTGGAGAAATTTAGAAGTAACATAGTGAAAAAACTTCCATCACTTTCATACCAAAATGATCCTAATTTTTTGTATGGAACATTATTTAAGCTTATTTGCAATGAATTTAATAATACTTTTACTTCTAAAACATTCTCCTTGAACAGTCGGAAGTCATTCAATGAATGGGCGACGGTAGGAGTCCATAAGAGCAGGCATAGGTTATATGATCTTTACCATGAAAGGTCATACAATCATAGCGTCGAATTTAGGGAATATGTAAAAAAATATTCAAAAATATTTAAAAAAGTGTGCTCCATAGCCAAGTCTTTGCATTTGAGCAACAAAATTAAGACGGCTTCCAATAAAATTAAAATGACATGGAGTATAATTAATAGCGAAACTGGTAAGATCAACTCTCGCAATTCAAATTACCAGTTAAGTGTTAACAACAAATTAACTGTATCAGATCAGGACGTAGCAATGGTTTTTGAGAAATATTTTACTGATATTCCGATCTTGACCACTAAGTCACTAAATTCTTCTCCTGCCGTCGCCGAATCATTACTTAAACATAATGTAAATGTGTGTACAAAGAATTTTACATTTCATAAAGTGACATCAAAAGATATTGTAAAATATTTTAAAACTATTGATGTTAAGAAAACTGCGGATCTGTGGGGGATTTCCGTTAAAGTTATTGCGTCTATAATAGATACAATCGCGCCTCATTTAGCTATTATTTTTAATACTAGTACCGAATCTGGTGTGTTTCCTGATTTAATGAAGCATAGTAAAGTAATACCTTTATTTAAATCTGGTAGTACATTAGAGCCCGCCAATTTTAGACCTATTTCTGTACTACCAACACTTAGTAAGATTTTTGAAAAAATTGTTCTTGATCAAATGTTAAATTTTTTTAATATAAATAATTTACTTCATAAAAATCAATTTGGTTTCACAAGGGGTCGCTCGACAACTGATGCCGGTGTTGAGCTGATTAAATATATCTTTAATGCATGGGAGAATTCACAGGATGCTTTGGGTATATTTTGTGACCTATCCAAGGCCTTCGATTGTGTTCACCATGAAACATTAATCAGGAAACTTCAACACTACGGTGTAAGAAGTGATGCCCTTAAATTAATTATTTCATATTTAAGTAAGAGAACGCAAAAAGTTGTCATTAACAATATGAGCTCTTCCGGATCGATGGTACAAATGGGCGTGCCTCAAGGCTCAATTCTCGGCCCCTTTCTGTTTCTTGTATACATTAATGACTTACCTTACATAGTAGGGGATAACCATGATATAGTATTATTTGCAGATGACACTTCTTTAATTTTCAAATTAAGTCGACAGTTACTAAAATATGACGAAGTAAATAATGCTATATCTAAATTAGTAAATTGGTTCGATGTTAATAATTTGCATTTAAATGGCACTAAAACAAAATGTATGAAATTCGTGACTCCAAATGTCAAACAATTAAATACTAATGTAATTTTAAATGGGGAGAAACTGAGTCTTGTAGATACCACCATTTTTCTTGGAATCACACTAGACGCGAAGCTTCAATGGAGCCCCCATATATCAAAACTAGCAAGCAGACTTAGTTCTGCAGCATATGCTGTAAAAAAGATTAGAAGTCTAACCAGTGTTGAAACAGCTAGACTAGTTTACTTCAGCTACTTCCATAGCATAATGTCGTATGGTATTTTGCTATGGGGACACGCAGCTGACACTGAAATTATATTTGTTTTGCAGAAGAGGGCCATAAGAGCAATTTATGATTTAAAGCCTAAAGAGTCGCTGCGACAAAAATTTAAGGAAATTAATATATTAACTTTGGCCTCTCAATACATTTATGAAAATTTAATGTACGTACACAAAAATAAAAGTAGTTTTATAAAAATAAGTGATATTCATTCTGTAAATACTAGGAACAGACACAAGCTAGTAGTACCAGTTACTCGACTCCATCGAGTCAGTAATTCATTCTTGGGGCGATGTATACGCTTTTACAACAAAATTCCAGAAAATATACAAAGTTTGGCCTGTTCAAAGTTCAAAAACTTTATTAAACTAAGTTTGTATAAAAAGGGTTATTATAATATTAAGGAATTTATGGATGATAATAACCCCTGGAAATGAGGTGATCGCTACCAAGCTATTTCTAATTTGTTGTGTTGTTAATTTGTGTAACATCATGATTGTAAGCTGTTATTTAAAAAAAAAGTCCCGCTGGGTTTCTTGCTGGTTCTTCCCAGGACAGAGGTTTTTTCCGAACCAGTGGTAATCAAACAAAAGAGTGACTTTCAATAAGTATTATTTATAATCTATATTGAATAAAAAAGTTTCTGTTTCTGTTTCTAAGAAACCTAAAAGAAAATATAAAAGTGAGAAAAAGGTAAATACAGTGAACTCTATTCTAATAGGGATTATGTTAATTTATGAAATTGTTGCTTTGATTTGTTTTTTAAATACTCAAACATAACTATTTTTATTTCAGACCACGAAGTATAGCCAATACTAAAATTGAGTGTAGGAAAGAGGTCCATCAAGCCCAAATGGCAAATGAAGGAAGGAAAGCACGAAACTTGGACCTAGAGGAGACATTAATAAAAATAAAAATTTAATATTATAATAAAAACTACAAGTTCTTGAAAAATTAATAATTGAAAACTAAAATGTAGCACCTACTTACTGATAGCCTTAATTAGTTAAAATGCCTATTAATAAATGCTCATAGAAGAGCATTATTGGAGTCTTTTCCTCTGGCCTCACCAATTTGAGGTAGAAGTTTAACATCCACAATTGCATTGAGTATGTCATCATGATCTGAAAATTATATTATAAATATTATTATGTAAAAAAATATTATATTCATGAATGGTTAAAATTATTTGTGTGCAAATTACCTGGTACTGAATCTTTGTAAGCACAGTTATGTATGTAGGTAAAATAAGTACATATGTATATGAGTAATATACCACCTGGCAAAGAACTGCATTGGGTATTATAATATGAATTTGAACATTCAATGAATAAAATCCTTTTCGGTTTATATAATACTGAGCTGCATCACCACCAAATTTCTTTATTTTTATGTGAGTATAATCGATGCAACCCAACACAAGGAAAATTTCTTATCTCTAAGAATTCCCTTATAACCCTTTGCTCTTCTGCCAAGGACTGCGGCATTTTTATGTAGGTGTCAGAGTGACGAACAATTGCACGAGCTACTCTGGCACAAATGCGACTCACAATTGGTTGACTCAACCCATGAAGGTCTCCACCATCGTCTTGAACCTAAAAAGGATAGGTACAAAAACGTTTACACACTCAAATAGGATATTATTACTTGTATGCTACAAGTTGACTTACTTCACAACGTCCCCAACATTTAATGGCGGTTTACACCTGCAATTCTGGTGACGTACCACAACCTCTTGAGTCCATTTGTAAATCCTGCCTGATGAGATCAATTATAAAAGATGCCGTATGTTTTTTGAAGCGGTATCGCTGTTTGAACTCTACATCGGGCAAAGAAAACGGATCATATCTCTTCGGGTAAACCTTACGACGATGATGCGGAGCATTTTCTATTTGGTCCATAGCTTGTAAACCTTGCAGGGCTTGCATAACGACACTTTAGCAATTAAAATCCACAAAAAACAATTTCACCAACAATATAATCTATACAACTTCAACAATCAGCTGTTCGTTGCTCGCACGCAGATCGGCAATTTTTTCCTCATAACAGGTTTATAATAGGTTTATAGTATGGTGGACCCTTCTATAACTTATGAAGCCGCTATTGAACACTTATAATACGTGTTAGCGTTATAATGCGTTTATGAATAGTGTTTTACGGGTACCTCTTAATAAGAAGCTAATAAACCTATTTTAACTTTTTATGAATAAGACTGTTAATGTTTAATTTTTTTTTGAAATATTATAAAATCTACTATGTAATATTTTAAGATTTCAATTAGGTAGGCTATGTTATACATGAATAATTGAAAGTAAATTGTGATAAAAATTAAATAACAAAATGCATAAATAATATTAATGTTCTGTTAAAATAGAGATGAAAACATGTTTGTGTTTCTTTGCTCCATTATACCTTATCTATTTAACTGATATAATATGTACGTTAAATAAATTATAAAATGGCTTGTGGGCATAGATCCACCATCACGGGGCTCACTCTCCAGCGCTGGTTCCACAGAACTACTGGCAGCAGGTCTATTACAAAACTTACTGCTTAATGATAACCCCTTGCAACTTAAACTAGTTGTAAATGCACCGTAATATCTTTTTAAATACCCGAGCATGTAAATCTCCTTTTTTATGCTTTAAAATTGCATTTTGTTTTCGTTTTAAGTATGATTTTACGTAAGAATGATCCATGATAATAATTCTCTGGCTTGTATACTTGTTTTTTTTTTTGTAATGATTGTAACACATCATTTTCGTTGACATTTTTATCAGAAAATCAGCAATTTTGTTAAAAAAAATAATGTTTTAAAATCGTCCCCTCTTTAAGGCAAACATTCCATAAATACTCAGGCCAGAGAAATATATTTAGAGTCATGTCAATTTATTTACTATACCATTTTTATTGTTTATTCATTTATTTGCTTTTCGAAATAAATTAGTTGTTTGATTTGCATATCAAATTATATTGATACAGAAGATGCAAATAAAATTAATTAACTGTATGTTGTCTTTTTTCAGGTGGGAGTGTTTGTTCATCTCCTGATCTAGATGGAGCAAAGCTCGGGACGTCTCCTCAAATAAACCGTTTCTTGGCTCGCGAACCCCCCGATGGTTGTGAGAAGGTATGATTTTTTAATTTTACACTACTTGATACTTGAAAAACTTTGTATGATCCACTGATTCACAACTCATCATCAGAATCATATCATACAGACACACATAAATTCAGACAGATAGAAACCATAATTTGAGGTTTTTTCTTGGTAACACCAAAGTCCAGTAAAAAAGTCAAGCTATGTATAAGTGATAGGAGCCTGATCAATTAATGGCAATTCGTCTAACAAGTACACCAACTCTAAATTCTACTGCCTAGTAGAACCAGTTCCTCGACGAAAGCAATGAGCACTCTCGTCGATGGCGCTCATTTCCGGTACGTCCCATGTCAGAATTGGAAATGGGTGGTTTACCACTTACACAATAAAAAAGGTACTTATAAATGTATATTTTTCATTACTTAAACAAATTAACTTATTATTAAATGTCAAGCAGTACGTTGGTTGAGAATGTGAGTACCAATACAAACTATTATTGATTTAATAGTACAAATTAACTATAAAATATGTATGAACACTAGGTTAGAAAATTAAAAAAAAGTGTGTGTGTCACCCCCCCCCCCCCCCACACACACTTTTAACTTATGTACGCACGTTGGAAGTTATACTTCTTTAGCTTAACAAAACAAAAAAAAACTTGAGAGACAATTACCCATTGAGTTGTCGCATTTATGTGTCAGTGTGGGCGCACATCGGAACAACTTCATGGTGTCATTTTAGGTGTCGGTGTGCGAGCGAATCGTAAAAATTCACTATCATCATTTTCCCCAAACGCCCCAAAAGAAGTATAACTTCAAAAATCGTAATTGTTACTAAGCTGTGGTACCCCAAGTCTTGGGGTGCTTGTTTTTTTTTTTAATAAAATTGAAGTGTCTGTCTGTAATACCGATTTTGCTGTCTTATATTAAGCTGAAGGGGCTATTTGCATGCCGTTAAGGCAAGAGTAACCATTTGTCAAATTTTTGTCTGTCTCTCTGACTGTTCATCTATCGGAATGGGATATTATATTTTTTCCAAATACTGGAGGTTTTATAAGATATCGAAAAATTGATAAAATAAATGGTTATTACATTAACAGATAACAACCCAGGCGAAACCGGGGCAGGTCGCTAGTATATATAATATACATAATCCTACAAAAAATGAGATAAATAATTTACCAGTATCTGTCTTTCCATCCAATTGTAATATGGGTGTCATCAAGGCAAGAGAATAGGCTTTTTGTTCTTTTGTTAAGCTATGTCAGTAAGTACCTCTACCATCTTTGGCTGCATCACCACTTACCACCACACTGGACAGATGAGTCGAGAATTACATGGTCGATAATATCGCACTGGAAATACTGCTTAAAACAGTATTTAAAATTTCTTTTCGTTTAGCATTTCTCATCTCTCGACTTCTTTTTTTCTCGAGTCCCGGGAATTGTCGAGACATGTTTAAACTGTTGAAAGAAGTCATAAAATTGTAAAAAAACTAAATAAAATACACTTTTTAATAATCATCAACATTTATTCGTGGAGTGAGACAAGGGACATAATATTTCCGAAACTGTTTACAAATGCACTGGAAGATATTTTTAAGTTGCAATCTTTTGATGTTGACTGCTTGCCGACGTTTTAGTAGCCTACATAGTTATTAATAATCAGATAAATCGCGCACGCAAGCTAAATAAAACTACCGCTGTACGCGAGTGTCCGTATTACTTTGCATCTTTTCTCCTTACTACGTCACAACGGACTTTCCGTGGTTGCTAAGACCTGTTAATAAAAACTAAAAAAATACATTGTAAAATGGTAAGTTACTTAGGTAAAGTACATATGCTGACTATAATCGACCATATTATCTACTATGAGTTCTGTGATGCCCAACGCATGCAACTTGCAAGGCCATGTGTCGGGAAAATAGTATAGAAAAGTTAGCGTAAACAACAAATAAATTCGAAATAGGATTCCTAACAGAAGTATGATCGTAATCTACTTAGTTGAAAATCTTGTAAACAAATTTTTAATTTCAGTATTTTGTGCTGTTAAAACTTAAAATATTTACAAAGACGAGTATAGGTATGTAAGTAGGTACTTGGGTAGTGGAGTAAATTTCAACTAAGTTTTGTAATAAAGTACATGGTATTGCTTCTGTAGTTAAATTATTACTTAATTATTTTTTCGCTATAAGTTTCTATCTAACAAAAAAATTAAATAAATTTACCTTTTATTATCCTTCGGTAACTCATAACATGATATATCTGAATCCTTTTAATTGCTCATTAAGCATCCATCCCCGCAACAATTATAATAGGAACAGTGGCGGATTTACCAGCAGGCTGAGTAGGCTGGAGCCTAAGGCGGCAGATTTTAGGGGCGGCGAATTTGGGGCTAAAATTTTTTATTTTTCACTTGGTTGATAAATTTTCTTACAAATTGCGTTTGGTTATGGCGCAGAAACGAGTGACATGACCGTTCGCTAAGTGTGTTTGATCGAAATGCCTACCATATGTAGAATATCTATGTAAATGCTGATGAATTGACTGAAAGAGCGAGTCGGGCTGCTGCGGGAGCCGCAGCAGGATCGTACTGTTGAAGGCGTACGCTGCGTGTTAGTATTGAGTTCGAAACAGATAGATGTATTTACTTCAAAACCAAAAGAAAAGCTGCCTCGGCTGAATCCTGGTGCGATTTCTAATACGTACTAATATTTCTCTGGCACAATTTTTTGGAAAATTACTTATTGGAAAAACGTTCTGAAGAGGGTTCTTGCCGTAGTATGATAATGCCGCAAGCATGACTGGTGTGTGACCTTTTGCTTTTTTCGTTCCTTGCTCTGTCCTCTCTTAAAATTTAGTGGCAACTGCGGCTACTGAATGTTGCACAGAAGCTTGTCGCTTCTTCAGTTCTTTGTAGCTGAACGAGAAATTTTTAAGTATTTTCAAGAAAAAATAATCGAATTAAGCATGTCAAAACAGTATGCAAAAGACGTGGGGGAAAATACAACCGGAAAGGAAAAAAAATATGATGAGACACACTGATAAAGAAATGAGAATGACTTCGAGTGATACTTTCAGGGCTAATACATTTCTCGTCCTCATTGATAGATTCGTAACTGAATTAGAAAAACGGTAGGTGTTGGTTCAAAAAATCTTTTGATTTCGGGCCAAAATCGACAACATCATCAAGTTCAACTCTTGCAGAAAAAGCCCTTTTCTTGGAAGAAATGTATCCTAATGATTTAGAGACTGACTTAATTCAAGAATTCCTACATTTTCAATGCCACCTTTCTTCTGAAAGAATTTTGGTAAAACCAGATTGTGGATCATTGAAAATTTTATCTTCGTTCCTGCGGAACCAGAATTTTCAAAATGTTTATCTAAACTTGGATATAGCAGTCCACATGGATTTATGTACACCAGTGACAAATTTTTCGGGTGTTTAATTTTGCTTTTCGATTTTCTTACTTAAAATGGCTGGAAAATTATCTAAGATCTACCTATTGTCAACATCTCGGCATGCCGGGATCACTCCCCGAAGTTACTTGCAACATCAAAGAACTGTTGAACTTCTTCGGGGAGATTTCATGGCTCGAATAATTACATTATTCCTGTCCACGCGCAAAGTACTAGACGCGGAGTTGCGGAAAACAGCCCGTCGTAAACTAAACTACCTAAAGTCAAGAAAAGCTAAACACCTTAACTATTTTGTGCATAGAGTCAGAACTCAAAATTCATGAACAAGATGATTGATGATTATTTTGCGAATAGAAAACTACTCAAAAAGGAATTTTAAAACTTTCTACTAGTAATTGAATATATTATTTTTAAACTGTAAGTAACCGCAATAAAAATTATTTAATGACGTTTAACGTTTAAGTAGTATTAAGACATACCTTACCCCGCCTTATGAGCTAATAAAAGCTCAATCATGTACTTCTAGTGAGCTAATAGCTCAGAAATATAGCCAAAAGCTATTTCTTGTGAAATCTTAACTAAATCGTTGAGTTGTAAAGATAATCTGGGAACTGACACATCGATATACTAGTTCACAATAATTATATTAATGACGAGAAAAGGGTGGTGTAATTATAACGATAATGCACAAATCATGAAGTTTTTTTTTATAGGAGAGGGGCAAACGAGCATGCGGCTCACCTGATGGTAAGTGACTACCGCCGCCCATGAACAGCTGCAACACCAGGGAGGGAATCGCAGATGCGTTGCCGGCCTCATAAAAAGGAGTACGCTCTTTTCTTGAAGGTCCCTAAGTCGTATCGGTCCAGATAAATCGCTGATGGTAATCGATTTCACAAGGAAGTCGTGCGAGGAAGAAAACATCTTCTAAATCGCACAGTGGTGGACCGCCAATCATCTAGATGGTGTGATGGTATCGGGAGTTCTGCCGCGATGTGCGTTCGTGAAATTTGGCGGCTGGGATTAATCCGAACAATTCCTCAGAGCACTCCCCATGGTAGATGCGAAAGAAAATGCAAAGAGATGCAATATCTCTTCGCAGTGCCAATGAATCGAGCCGATCGGAGGCAGAATTTTCAAAATGTTTATCTAAACTTGGATATCCAAGTTTAGATAAAAATTTTGAAAATTCTGGTTCCGCAGGAACGAAGATAAAATTTTCAATGATCCACAATCTGGTTTTACCAAAATTCTTTCAGAAGAAAGGTGGCATTGAAAATGTAGGAATTCTTGAATTAAGTCAGTCTCTAAATCATTAGGATACATTTCTTCCAAGAAAAGGGCTTTTTCTGCAAGAGTTGAACTTGATGATGTTGTCGATTTTGGCCCGAAATCAAAAGATTTTTTGAACCAACACCTACCGTTTTTCTAATTCAGTGACGAATTTATCAATGAGGACGAGAAATGTATTAACCGTGAAAGTATCACTCGAAGTCATTCTCATTTCTTTATCAGTGTGTCTCATCATATTTTTTTTCCTTTCCGGTTGTATTTTCCCCCACGTCTTTTGCATACTGTTTTGACATGCTTAATTCGATTATTTTTTCTTGAAAATACTTAAAAATTTCTCGTTCAGCTACAAAGAACTGAAGAAGCGACAAGCTTCTGTGCAACATTCAGTAGCCGCAGTTGCCACTAAATTTTAAGAGAGGACAGAGCAAGGAACGAAAAAAGCAAAAGGTCACACACCAGACATGCTTGCGGCATTATCATACTACGACAAGAACCCTCTTCAGAACGTTTTTCCAATAAGTAATTTTCCAAAAAATTGTGCCAGAGAAATATTAGTACGTATTAGAAATCGCACCAGGATTCAGCCGAGGCAGCTTTTCTTTTGGTTTTGAAGTAAACTTTGACATACACGCAAACTCCAGCCCGAGGCACAAAGGAGTGCTCCAATTTGTACCCCGGGTAGGAGAGATACGAAATATCAGCCGGAGAGGAAACCTGCGTCTCGGTCAGAAAGAGCAAGGCCGGCTTCGCCGTCTCGAGATGGTAGTGGACGGCGTTTAGGTTCGAGTGAAGTCCCCTGATGTTGCAGAAATTCACGGATAGCGTGGCAGGGGTCGCCTTGGTTTTGTTGCTCAGTTTGCCCCGAGCAGTTATGTTTTTGAGCGGAATTTTGCCCCCCCCCCCCCCAGAATACGCGGGGCAGCCTGAGCAACCACGCTCAGGAGTGGAATAACATGGTCGTGGATGCTCAGCGAGGGATTCTCCAGCGGTGCTGGTACCCTCCTGGGGTAATCTAACGTGTAACTCCGCTACCATGTTGATGAGGGGGGGGGGGGGGTAATTGGGCCTCCGGCCACCTGCACTCACCAGACGAAATGCAGAAGCAGAGCTTCTACTTCACGCCGGTATTCTGTGAGGTCGTGGTACCAACCCGGCTCGAGCCGGCCCATACGTGCAATAGCAAAAACTGCCGTGTGGCTCTACCACCGTTAAAGTTACAATTTCATTGACAAAAATTGTAATTTATATGATTGTGAACTAGAGCATCGAATTGTAGAAGATCGGTAGGGGCCTTCAAAATTAGAATAGCCTACTGGCGGCAAATGTGTAGATCCACCACTGAATAGGAACGACGTTTTGCCATTATAATTTATGAAATAGATAGGTAATATACATATATTATATTATTCTTAAATTACATTAAAACTTTTTCAACTATTTTATCATCAATTAAATATACTAAACACTAAACAAAAACTATTACGACGAGTATTTCAACAAGTATTTACAAAAAATTATTTACGTAAACTCCGTTAAAAAAACTTTAACATTCAATCGTATAGAGTGCGCTAGCCCCGACTGCGATCTACCCCTGGGGCAGCTCGCGATTGTTGGAAATTACTTCACGCAGATAACAAGAGTGACAGAGGCCTGGCTAAACTGAAATAGACGCGGCATCAATGTAAACAGCGACCACATTTCACACTTACACTATGCCGATAATAAAAATCCGAAATGAACCCTCCCAACTGTTTAATAATTTATGTGGGCAAAGATATAATTAATGAGAGCACACGACACAATCAGACGGAAGACATTTTATTAGTTAAGCACAGCACAGAGGATATGAAATGTGACACAGACAATTATAGTATGACCACAGACTATAATAGCTAATCTTTACTTATAACACCAACGTGTTGGACTATGTATGAGCTTAAATAATATGAAAGTCATGTTTAACGGTCCTGTCATACTCATATCAGATTCGGTTATGGTTGATGGTGAGATTCTTGAAGTTGTTCAAGAATTTATCTACCTCGGCTAGATAGTGCATTTAGATAGAAATAGGTTTGACAAAGAAGCTGATAGGCGGATTGAGTTGGGCTGGGCAGCATACGAGAAGCTTCGTCAGGTGTTGTCGTCGCTCATACCGCAAAGTTTGAAGATCAAAATGCAGATGCGTTGTCACCTGTGAGGACTAAGATGGAATTTCCAGTAAAAAGGGTCTCCGGTTCTCTACATTTACCATACGAAACACAGCAGCGTTAAGTTGCTATTTTACGCTGGTATTCTGTGAGAGCGTGGTCTGTCCCCGGTCGAGCCGACCCATTCGTGCTACAACCATAATATAGCTGCAACGTGGCTCTACCACGTATTCGACAAGTGCGTCCTACCGGTAGTCACATATGGTGCCGAAACGTGGCAACTAGCGACAGCGCCCAGTGAGCGATAAAAAGAGCTTTCTTAGGTGCATAGATAATATTTGTAACGACTAAATACGTCGGAGAACCAAGGTCAGCGATATAGTTCAGGATTATGATGATGATGAACATTTATTAATTATTTAGGCTTGTATAGTTTTTTTATTTATTATATTGAATATTAAGTTAAATAATAATTAATAGTATGTAAGTAGGTAGGTACCTGAAGTATCTTTATAAAAACAATCCTTAAGCTATTGTCACATATATATTTGTCCTTTAACTAAGTAGAAATTTTAATCACTGAATAAAAAATTAACATTTATATCAACTACAAAATGTTTTTCCTTTAATTACAGAACAAAGAATAAACATTTTAATAATAATCACCTAAAGAATTGTCACATACATGCTCGATGTCCTGGATTACTAGATTTTATTTTTTTATTTAAGGACTAACGGTACTACTGACTCAATATCACCATAAATATCTAGTGTAGCATTTGCCAATTGAGACGCGATTTCTCGATCTTTTTTTTCTTGTCTCGAATAAGGCCAATTTTCTTGATAATTTCCGCTTTAAGATATCTCGATAAGAAACCCTATATTCGTTAAATAGCCATATTAAGAAGATTTTGTTATCTTATACCAGAAATATTAGCGTAAGATAGTAGTACAATACTGCTGTGTTTTGTATGGTGAATATAAACAACAACGAATTTTAGTAATTATGAGGCATTTCATCTTAATTCTCAGGGCTGAAAAAGAGGCGTGTTGCTCAGTTTAAGGCTCGCCACATACATACGGAATTCCGTTTCGGGATTCCGTTTCGGAATTCCGAACGGTAGGCAACACACAAACGGAATCCCGTTTCGCCCGCAAAATATCGAACGGAAAACTACCGTACGTGTGTGGCGGGTCATAGATTTTATATGGACTTGCTGCGTTCGGTATTCCGAATCGGAATATCGAAACGGAATTCCGTATGTATGTGGCGAGCCTTAGACTTTAATTAATTATACTGCTTTACTAATTCTAACTTAACACTAATATATATTCTCGTGGGGGCTACATGACTCTGCATGATTCTTAATCAAGGACATAATTATATAAGTGTCTATGCACCAGGGCATTCACTCACCATCAAGTGTACTCGGTGCTTTTTTTGTCACACTTACCGTTGTAAAAATATACATCTACTAGCTGACCAGGCACACTGTTTCTGCCCTTTTCGACGATCCTTTGTCCTTTAAAATATCTTTAATTCGCAATAAAAAATATTGAGGTTCACTTATCGGGATAAAAACTATCTTATCTCTCAAGTTGGAGCAAGCAATACACATTACAAAATTTCATTAAAATTGGTTGAGTGATTGCAGAGTTCATTGCGGACAAATAATGTGACATGAAATTTTCATATATAAAGATATTGTATTGTATTTGTGTGTTAGGGGATACTTTAATAATTCATTCATTCATTGCCTCGTAAGAGGTATATTTGCCATAGTTGCCACGCTTGGCAGTCAGGATTTCCTGGTTTTTATAGGAAAGATGCTGCCCATATTCTGGATTGTTTCCAACAACACATGGGTCAACCACGGGACGATATTTAATAGTGGATATTCTTTCCACAAGCTCAACTCTAACAATATTAATATGGAAATCATTCTTCGGCAGGTTAATTTAAAAGCTGGCGAAGGCGCGCATACGGAACCATTGTCGGTGATGAAGCCAACAGTACATGGGTTTACGTTACGGCCGTCGCTGGGCTCAGCGTTCCAGCCGCTGCAGCCCGCGCCGCCCTCCCCGCCCGCCCCCACCCCCCACTGACTCTACACAAACATCACCGAGGTACACAAACCACTTACCGCCAAGTAAACTACTACAATCGTATTATTCTCTAAAATACCATTGTTCTTAGAGTGTTCATACGATGAACTGTGTATGTTAATTCTGATTGTGTCGTTATATATATGTCTACCGACTGGACGTTTGTATGGCTTGAAAGAACAGATTAATCTTGATTATTAATTTGTTTTATTCATTTTAATGTTACAAAATGAGCCCATGTATTACAGTTTTGTTTGTAATATTACTATTCAAAAAAGAAAACTAAACTTAATTTGATTTTATTTTATCTAGAATTTTAATCAAGATTAAGATGTCACATCACAATTTTAAACATTGCAACGTGCTTCCTTATTTCTATTGAGTAGTAGAATACTTGTATGTTACATGTGATGAAATACATTGGCATAATAAAAAAAAATTACCCATATCTGTTCCATTTGATAATTATCTCAAATTATATAAAAAAAGATTAATTATACATAAAAATAAAATTGAAATGGCTATTTGTAATATCCAATTATTGATTTCTATTAAACTCAAGGGGTAATTTGCATGCTATTATAATGTGAATTACTATTTTAAAAAAATTGTCTGTCTGTCTTTCCGAGCTAATAATCAGAATGACTGCTTCGATTGTGACAAACCCTACCAACAGATAGTGAGCAAGTTTCGTTTGTATTTTGTGTAAAATTACAAACGAAATAAGTTTCGTTTGTAATTTTACACAAAATAGGTCCTTTATACTTTATCTTCTGTTTTGAAACTTTTTTAGCTTTGTTGTGATTTTTGAAACTCGATGAAACGAAAAATCTGCACTAAAAAGAGACAAATAGACAACCCTATACTACATGTATAGGATTTAGCCTGCGAGAGAATGAGATAGAACACAGTGTAGTAAGCAACAGTAGTCTAGCAAGGTGCGGACCGCGAACTCAAAAGGTTGGGGGTTCGCAACCGTCATTTTTTTTTAATCTTACCAATAGTGGAAGGCAATTTTAGTAATGTTAATAGCATTGCTAGTTTTTTTTTTTAAATAGTGTTTCCTATAATTTCTTATTAAAGATTGTTAATATGAATTGTAACTGTTGAAGTAAAAAGTTACAAAAATGAACAAATTTATTAAATAGATTAAATTAACCATGTTGAATAAAATTATACCAATCTATTTATATAAAAAATCTACAATTTCAAAAATTCTTGCCATCTAGCGTTCAATTTATGTACCTTGAGAGTGAATCAAAATTTTGTTTGATAAAAAGACTACCTATAAAATGAAGTAGATGGCGCTATTGCAGAGCAATTTTATTAGAAAGAAAATGTTCTTTTCGTTTAAGTCTAAAAATAAGGATTGTAACATTTAGTTGCTATAAAATTAAACTTTTATCGTATATTTCATGCTGTACTTGTGGTTGAAAATTATCATATTCAATCATTTGCCATAAAATATTTTTATTTTATATTTAATTTTATTTGAAGGTTTCACTTCTAGACACGTGTGAACTGCACAGATGTATTTTATATTAAACACCATTGTACAACAAAACTGGCAGTATTAATGGCTAAAGTGATAAGACCTCTTTTATGTGAAATTAAGATCTTCAATTTTTATTTCAGACAATTTCCCATAATTATATTGCACAAGTGTATAAAGTATTTGAAAAAGTTGAGCTACTAACTCAAAAGTTACTATTATAGATTTGGAAGTTACTTTTTATTATTAAAGTTCTACTCAGACGAAGTCGCCGGGTTAAAGCTAGTTGTTAATAAAAAGACGTAATATATTTTTAAAGTGTGATAATATAGTGTCAATTTTTATCCCTTGTCGCGATCATTAATTTAAATATTATTTACGTACAAAATATACATAGACGGGTAGCTAAAGGGCATTTTGTGTCCGTTATTCCTTATAATATCACATTATTGCTCTTGACATATAATATTAATAACTATTCAAACATACTCAATAGAAGTAAAGGAAAGGAACATTATCCTTAACTGACAAACTTGCAGTGCTAATGTAATAAACGCTATATACAAATTAGATCAAATATGTTGTTAAATATTCTTTTGATATCTAACATTGCTTTCGAATATTAAAATTATTTTATTGTTTACTCAATTAATACTTCTAAGTATATCATACACACACATATATCAGTTATTTCAAGTTATTTACATTTGTTTTCTGGTTTTAAAAAGTACATTAATTTCGATTAAAGTAATTACCGTTAAAAACTAAGATAACATTAGCTACAGGGCTCATTTAAAATGGCTTCCTATCCGTAGACGTCGAGACTTACATATGTTACCAGTTCTCTACTTTCTACTCTTTAATTCTCTTGCACCTTTATTAGAAAAGCTTGATTAAGCTTTTAGCTGATTATGTAAGCTTTTCTAATAAATGTTATTTTACACTGTTCTAAATCTAAAATTCTATGAAGTGAACAATGTTTAGGTACACTTATTTAGAAAAATACACTTAATATAGGGTTATAAGTTAACATCATTACTATTTGTAATTTTTAGGAATTTTGCATTAAATTGTTTTACATATAATTTAAAAATAAAAATTTTGTACAACCGACTTCAATATAAATTATTAAGAACAACTCAAAAACTATTGGTCAGACCTTGATTAAATTTATATGGGACCACATGTGAAGCACCAACTTTCAAATAAAAAAAGAATCATCGAAATCGGTTTACCCAGTAAAAAGTTATGAGGTAACACACATAAAAAAACATACAGTCGAATTGAGTACCGGCTCCTTTTTGAAGTCGGTAGAAAAATATTACTAAATTAGAGTATTTAAAATTGTTTACATTCTTAGAAAATTTGATTGAAAGCATATACATCTATATTTCTTGCCCAATAACAGAGACAGATAATAGATGAATAGAAAAATCAGCCAGTTCTCCTCAGTCCCAACAGTTGATATGGATCCAAAGATCAGTTTCTAACTGCTAAACATACAACACCACATTCCAACAATATCTGTAATAAACTTCCTATAGTAAAGTATTAATTGTATTAAGTGGTTTATTTGGAAAATTTACATGCAACTGTTGTCATTAGCACTGCAAGACACTAGTTCTGAGAAAGTTATATAAAGAAAACAGAAAATTGAATGTATTGAAGTACTCTTAGAACATTAACTTAAATGGATGTTATTTACCCATCTTTAATCCGTAGTGACAATAATAATTGTAATAAGTTTAATTTCAATTAAACTCTTGGTACTGTATGGCTTAATTGCGATCGTGTTGATGACGCCATGATTATGATGTAAGGAAAGAGATGAATGTATTGAGAAATTCTGTTCAATTGTGTGACTTTTGCCTCCTTTATCATCAAGTCACAATATGCTTTTTTTTTTCGAACATTAATTAATCTGACATAAATGAAACCAAAGTGAATTAATTTTACAGCAATTAAATAGTCTTTGCAAAAAAACACATTGCTTATGTAATATGGCTAATCATGTAGTTTGAATGTATATTTTTGTTAAAAAAAATGTATAAATGTCTTGAGTGTAAACTTAAGATTATTTTTGTAGTTATCTGATTTTTTTCATAACATTCTATCATAATGCAAATTGAAGGAATATGTTTATTTGATCTCATATATTTTAAAATATGTACATAATCTCATATTGCTACATCATTTGTAGGTTTTACAATATTTTTTATTGCTCATTCACTTATTCTTAGCAGTTCATCTGAACTGGAGGGCAATGATTTCTTTTTCTATTTACTCCTGCTAGTAGTGTAGTGTTTTTTTACTCTTTTGACATCTCTTTAAATATGAATAGCAACATTACTGTTTGAATTTCCATCTCGAAAGATTATTTCTCATAATAAGTAAAAAATAATAATTTTTTTTTTTTTGAAATCACTATGTCATAATGTTGTTTGCCTAATATGCTCATGTTTGATTGCATAAACAAATTTATATAAGGGCAATAGGAATGTAAAAGCCTTTACTTATTGTTACTAGCGTGGAAAACTGGAAAAAATAATCCATTCATCCCTACCAATTGATTGGACTGAAATACCATAAAATGAGCAAAATTTTGTATTATAATTAATTTGACATTTTCTATAACCATTCAATAATAAAAAATGGACCAAAACTTGTAAGGGTCGCGAAGTATTAAACATGATTGTTAGGCTGAATTCTATCAGAGATAGCTTTAAATGCGCAGGGCTGGACGAGAAGAGTAAGAGGATAGACTGATTTTTTAAAACATACTCATACTTTGATACAGGTATCTTGACAAATATTGAATTTTAAGTATAACCAGTATACAGCTGCTGTCTATTTATCTAATTGTATAATCGTTAGTACAAACTCACATATGAAATCATATTTCCAGAAATTTGTTATAATAAAAACTCATGCATTTGGGATGGCATTTTGTACAAAGTTATTATTTAACACTTAATATAAAAAAAAATAATATCATTTGTGTACTTGAAATTTACTAAACACCTGTGGCTACCCTTTCATGTCAAGTATCTGTATCGGGTATTACGGACACACACGGTGTTTGGTTAATGTTACGTTGTAAAAAGAATGGACCATGCCAATTGGATCTCTCATTTTGGCCAAAATGCATTTTTATCATCGAGACTGATACTATAAAAAGTTGAAACGTAGTTAGATCTGCTTTATTATTTTGTAAAATTTGACGGTAAATATATATTTTTGACGGCTCACCTTTGGAGTATAGAGTATTTTAAATGTAAACATTGCTCAAATCAAAATTTTATTGAGAGCCACAATTATGATAAACCAATGCCGAATTTGAAAATGTAAACATTGTGATTTGTAAAGATTCAAGTTGCTGCTATATGTATATATTTATAATTATTAATACATATATAATAATATCTACCTATTGAATATTTATTTGATAAATGAATGTGATATGTAAGTGAATCATTTGTAAATGATAGTGATTGTAGCTTTACAACTT